CAAATTCCCAGGGTGGGCGGTCCATCCCGGCAGAAGGGTCTGACCTCAAATTGGGACGTGGCTCCGCGTGTGCTTGGATCCAGAGCCCTGGGGTCCATTGCAGAGCCCCCCCAAAGCCCAGCCCAGAACCCCCCACCCTGGGCTCGGGGTCCCTGCCAGGCTTCACCCACAAAAAATGGGGTGAGATACAGCCCCACTCCCCATCTTCAACCCAGCACATCCCCAGGGCTGGAGGAGATCCAGGCACCGCAGGCAGGCAGGATGTGGCCCCTGCGAAGACGGGGGGGGCATTTATTCCCTCCCTTTTGGCGTTTTAAAGGACGGAGGGATGCTGTTTCCCTTCTCCGGGATGGCTCAGGAGATTTGCAGCCTGGAAAGTGCTGATGCATCCTTGGGTCATTAAAAATCAGTTTTAAAACAGATTAAAATCAGTTTTAAAATGTTTTAAAATCGGTTTTAAACCATATATCCCCCAAATTTCATCCTTCTAAGAGGAGATGCTCACTGGGATGGGGCACGCTGGTTTTTGGGATTAATTAATGGGGGGAGAAGGTGCCTGTGGGGGTGGAGGGAGATGGGCAGGGGGATGGGGAGAAGGGGGAAACTGAGGCAGGGATGGGTACGGTTGCAAGTCTGCTCCTCCAAGAGAATTTATCCCCTCCACCAGCCCTGGAGAGGGGAGATCTGCCCCCCACAACTGTGTCACGGAGGAAAGGGGGATGTCCCTGCCTCGTCCCCTCGTGTCCCCCCCAGCCCTTTGGCAACATGGGGCTGGAGCATCCTGAGGCTAAACCCCAGTTATACCCCAGTTATCCCAGCAAAATCCTTGGATTTCCAAAAAACTGCCCCTTGCTGAGCTTGCCGTGGACACCATGGCGATGGGGTGGGACGCTGGGTGGGAGACGTGGGGTCCCCAAGGGTGCCAGTGGGGTGGGATGGGAGAAGGGGCCAGAAGGAAACCTCGTGGAGTGGGAAATCCAAAATGTCCCCTTGGCATTGTTCCTCTGATGGCACCCAAGGGTGCTTGTGCCCCTCGGGTGGGCACCCACCACCCCCAGCACTGCTGGCCCCAGCATCCCATGGGCACAGGAGCCTCATCCTGAGCGAGGACCACGCTGGGGGATGCAGGTAACCCCAGGCACCAGAAAAAAAAAATAATAATTTCTCATGGGTGACCCCAAATATTGTTGATAAGGACGGGAAGAGGCGTCTCTTGGGCACCTCTCCACGGGCTGGCAGCCCTGCTTTCCCCTGGCCATGCATGATGCATGAGCCTTTATTAATACCCCCCGAAAGCGCATCAATTATTGATGCTGAGCTCGAAAGCTCTGCAGAAACACCCGGGCTGGAGCCTTCGCCCTCTGCCAAGGGAGGGGGGCACCCACCTCGGGTGGTGCAGCTGCTTCTGGGGTGGGATGGGACCCAGCATCCCTGCTGGTGTTTGTGGGAGGGGAGAGGTGGTTGTGCCCCAAAACTTGGGGCTACTCAGGGCTGGGGAGAACTATTCACCCCCCAGCCAGCAGCATCCTGGTCTGACATCTTCACCCATGGCCACAGTGGGGACAAGAAAACATGACAGTGCTGGGGACCACGCTGAGCTGCTGGGGACCGCACTGAGCTGCTGGGGACCAAGCTGAGCTGCTGGGGGCTGGATCAGGACCAAGCCAGGGACTAAGGCAGGGTGCTCGGGAACCATGTGGGAATCAGGCCAGGGTGCTCAGGGACTCAGTCAGGACCAAGCCAGGGATTAAGCCAAGGCTGATCAGGGATCAGATCAGGACCAAGCCATGGTGCTTGGGAACAATATCTGGACCAAGCCAGGGACCAAGCCAGAGTGACTGGGGACCAGCTGGGGACCAAGCCACGGACTAAGCCAAGGTACTCAGGGACTGGATCAGGACCAAGCTGGGGACCAAGCCAGGGTGCTGGGCAACTGCATCAGGACCAAGCCAGGGACTAAGGCAGGGTGCTTGGGGACCAGCTGGGGACCAACCCAGGGTGACCGGGACTCAGTCAGGAGCAAGCCAAGGGATTAAACCAGGGTGATCAGGGATCAAATCAGGACCAAGGCAGGGTGCTTGGGGACCATATCAGGACCAAGACAGGAATTAAACCAAGGATCCTTAGGGACCATCTGGGGACCAAGCCGGGGACCAAGCCAGGGAGCAAGCCAGGGTGCTTGGGGACCATCTGGGGACCAAGCCAGGGACTGAGACAGGGCGCTCAGGGACTGGATCAGGACCAAGCCAGGGTCCTTGCAACCGTGGATCCAGCCCAGGACAGGGAAGGAGCATGGCAGGTGCCCGTGCTCAGCCACGTACCCCACACCAGCCTCCCCCTCAGGGGGGATGCTCTGGGGTGACCCCAGCCAGGAGCCTGCTCGGGACAGGGGCTTTGCTGGTGGGGGGCCAGGGTGGGATTGGGGGCCAGGGGAGGTGCAGGATGAGGCCGGCGGGCTGGTGCATGGCTGCAGGGCCCCGCGGTGTTCGTGGGGAGACAGGCAGAGGGAGCTGTGAAGGAGGAAAAAGCAGCAGAGAGAACAGTCCCGGCTCAGGCTGCAAAGGAGGAGGAGGCAGCTGCTGCCGCTCGCCCT